GGCAGGGGTGGAGCAGGTCAAAGCTTTTGTGCCAGTCATTACTGGGGCCAGGCCTGTGAGTAGCTACTTCACTTCTAGCCCAGGAGAGATAGGGAGAGCCAGTCTCCAAAAAAAAAAAAAAAACTGCTTTAGAAAATCCAGCACTCAAATGTTCCAATTCAGGGCTGCCTATGAGATAACTGCCAAGGTGAGGAAGTTGATGCTCAGAATCCCTTCTCTCAGGCTGCAAGCACAGGTCTCCCACTGCCATGTGCTTCTGCAGAAGGTCTGAGCAATGCCCTCCCTGGCTGCACATATATATATTATACATGCCTTGAGTAGGGAACATTCAGTCTCCTGAGCTCTAGTTTCTGACCTGAGCTCAGAAAAGGCATCAGAAAAGCAGAAGAGGCAGAAAGATACCTTCATGGAAGCTAGGGAACACTAGGATCTATACTTGGGAGATCAGAAAAGTAGCTGGCTATAATCAATCAACAAACATTTATTAAGTGCCTACTATATACCAGGCATTATTCTAGGCATTGTAGATACCAAGAGGAAAAAAGTGAACCCATCCCTACCTTCAAGGAGCTTATATTCTATCTTATACATAGATAAGTGTATCCAAAATGTAAGGACAGGGACTGCCCTGGTGATTTCATTGGTAAAAGGAACTCCCAGATAAGGAAACTCCATCTACCAGTGCAGATATGCATCTTCTCTTCAACTTTGAGTCTTAGCTGTCTGCAGAACTTAGATGTTAAGGGACTTACCCCCATGATAGCCAGTATGTGTCAGAGGTAAAACCTGAACCTAGCTCTTCCTGATTCCAAGGCTGACTATCTATATACTGTATCATATAGCCTGGCATACTACTATATGTATGCACACACACACATACACACACACATATGATTATGGTGGGGGGAAGGGCACTAGCACCTGGGAGCATCAGGGAAGGCCTTATATAGATAGATTTATAGGCAAATAGATAGTTGATGGATAAACAGAGCATTTACATACCAGCCAATGTGTTAAGTACTGCGAATATAAAACATAAGCAAACAAGGCCACCTGGCCCTTAAGGAACTTACATTCTAAGGGAATGGAAGAGAACAAGTATTTATTAGGCACCTACGGTATACTAGGCAGTTTGCTAAGAGCTTTACAATGATTATCTCATTTCATGCTCACAACGACTCTAGGAGGTAGCTGCTATTACTATGCCCATTTTACAGTTATGGAAACTGAGGCAACCAGTGGTTAAGTAACTTGCCTAGCGTCGCACCACTAAAAATTATCAAAAGAAAACATATAAAGGGGAGCTGGAAGAGGTGTAGGATATTTGAACTGAAGAATCTTGTGGGGATGCCTGGAAAATGAAGTTCGTTTAAATTGTTTCTTGAAAGAACCCAGGGATTCTAAAGGGTTGTTGTTGTATTTGTCTTTTGTTCTCAAAGAGGATTGTGACATCAGGGAGATGATGACATGACTTGCAATTGACTTTGATTTGAGTGAGGGAGGGCTGTGCAAGGTCACAAGGTAGAGAGGAAGTGCAATCCAGGTGTGAGAGACAGTCAGTACAAAGACACGGGGGCTGGAGATAGAGAAGATCGACTGGAATCTGTGAGAGAAAGAAACAGGTGAAAGGGCTGGAAAGGGAAAGCGGGGCCAAGCTGTACTATCAATAATGTTATTTATTACTATCAATATAATTTTATTATTAGCAATAGCAACAGTGATCACTTCCTTATAATGATTATTCTCTCAAGGAGCTGTGTTTCCTTTGCTCTCTTTTAACAAAATGTCCTGGATAGTGTCCTAGTGCATGACTCCAATGGGCTGGCCACTTTGGTCAAATGCCCAACATACGCTTGCCAAAAAGACGATTTTATGGAGAACTCACACAGGGCGAGTGCTCACGTGATGATGGTCAGAAGAAGCGATACAAGGACACTCTCAAGGTCTCTTTTAAGAACTTTCGAATTGATTGTGTGACATGGGAGACACCTGTGGCACCAGGCTGCCCAGCATGGTGTGCCCTCATCAGAGAAGGAGCTGTGCTCTATGAGCAGAACTAAAGCAGCTCAAAGGAAATGGGAAATGCACAGATACAGAGAATCCACCCCAAATGTTCACATGGACTATTTGTGCCCAGCCTGTGGTAGAGCATTCGGAGCTCGTATCGGTCTGATCAGCCAGTTGGACACACTGTAACTTGATTCGAACATAGTGATGTCACTTTGGTCCTTTTCCTGAACAAAGGACAGCAATCAACCAGCCAACCTAGATAGTGTGAACTTCGTGTTTAGGAATACGGAAGCTGTAGCAGTATTATGGGGGTGGGGAGTAGCCTGCTTACATTTCTCAAAAAAAAAAATTATTAGTTGGTTATTTTTTGGGAAAAAAACAAACCCAATCAACCATGGAATTGCTGTAATTTTCTTCAACGGAACCAAGATCACTATTCCTGTTGTAACAAGGAAGTCTAGTTAAGTCAAACAAACCGACACACCAGCCCTGTCTGACTAAGCCAATCTCTTTCTGCCCTCAAGCTCACCAAGGTTCTGCTAAGAATCGGGAGACACAGGTAGACATTCCTCTTCTTTTACTGAGTGGGGATTATGAGCCAATGAAGTGAGAAAATTAACCCAAGTTTATTTGGTCCCTTGGGCATTGGGTGTTAGTCTCTCTAACACAAGGATTAAATACTGGTGAATAAGTCATGCAAAAGAAACTCATCAAATGAGTAAAATATGGATGAGTCTGCCTGGCATTTGAAGCTCACATAATCTAGCAACAACCTGCCTTTCTCTTTATTTCTTTTTCTTTCTTTGATAGTATTTTTATTTTTTAAATAGTATTTTTTCCAATTATATGTAAAGACAATTTTTAGCATTCATTTTTACAAGGTTCTGAGTTCCAAAATTTTCTCCCTCCCTCCCTCCCCACCCCTCTTCTGAAAATGGTAAGCAATTTGATATAGGTTATATACATGGAATCATGTAAAACATATTTCCATATTAGTCACAGTTGTGAAAGAAGAAACAGACCAAAAGGAAAAGCCATGAAAAAAAAAAATAAAGTGAACATAGTATGTGTCGCTCTGTATTCAGTCCATCGGCTCTTTATCTGGATGTGGACAGCATTTTCAACCATGACTCCTTTGGAATTGTCTTGGGCTAAGTCTACCACATGTACAAAAATATTTATAGCAGCTCTTTCTGTGGTGGCAAAGAATTAGAAATTGAGGGGATGCCAATCCATTGGGGAATGACTGAACAAGTTGTGGTATATGGATGTAATGGAATACTATTGTACTATAAGAAATGATGAGCAGGCAGACTTCAGAAAAACCTGGAAAGACTTGTATGGACTGACGTTGAGTGTAGTGAGCAGAACCAGGAGAACGTTGTACATAGTAACAGCCACATTGTGCAATGACTAACTTTGGTAGACTTAGCCCTTCTCAGCAATGCAAGGATCTAAGACATCTCCAGAGGCCTCATGATGGAAAATGCTATTACATCCAAAGAAAGAACTATGGAGTTGAAATGTAGATCAAAGCATACTATTTGCTCTTTTTTTTTTTCTTCTGTTGTGTTTTGTTTCCTCTTTCTGGTGGCCTCCTATTGGTTCTAATTCTTCCTTACAACATGACTAATGTGAAAATATGTTTAACAGGAAAGTATAGTATAGCCTATATCAGATTGCACGCTGTCTTGGGGAGTGAGGTGAGGAGGGAGGGGGAGAAAAATTTAAAACTCAAAAGCCTATAGAAGTGAAAACAAATAATAAATTAATCAAAAGGAGAGAAAAAAAGGGCTAAATCTAACAAAGTCAGTCATCGCACAGTGTTGCTGCTCCTGTGTCCAATGTTCTGGTTCTGCTCACTTCACTCAGCATCAGTTCACGTAAACCTTTCCAGGCTTTTCTGAAGTCTGCCCGCTCATCATTTCTTATCGCACAATAGCATGCCATTACATTCCTCTACCACAACGTTGCTCACTCTTATTTCTTCTTAAATGTTGTACGGTTGCTGTTCATCTACGTCACCTCCCAACGATTCCCCACCATCACTGCCTTGTACCAAACACGTCCAGCCAAGGAAAGCGAGTGGGCACGTTGGCCCTGCGGGCAAACCCCCCTCCCTCTGCCCCATGGCACACGCCTCCCCAGGAACTCTCTGGAGGCAGGACCGGTCATTGCATGACGTGAGCTCTGAGAACGTTCAGCCTCATTTTCCCGCCCGTCCCTGTGGTCCCTGCGTAAAGCGTCCTCCTGGCTTGGCTGCCTTCGCCCTGATTTCCTTCTACCCCCGGCTCGCTTTTCCAAGCTCTGTCTGTCTCACTCTCCCCTCCCCCCACCCCACGCACTCTACGCTGCTGCCTGGCTGATCTCAGCCTGCTCTCTCCGTCTGTGCCCAGGACAAGCTCCTTCTTCATCTCTGCCCACTGACCCCATCCTCCTCCTGCCAAGGCCATTTCACCTGCCACTGGCTCCAGGATACCTTCCCTAAGCCGTGGGTTTTATGCGATTTAGAAACTTTTTTTTAAGATTTAAAATTTTTTTTCTAAATCTAATCGCGGGAGATTCTCGCGAAGGGGAACGGCATGGTCGGGCCCGGCTCTTGGGAAGCGATAGGAAGCGACGGGAACATCCCCATTTTACAGATGGGGAAGCTGAGGTCCGCCGATAGGAAGCCGAGTGATCCAGGTCCCAGGGTTGGGGCTGGAGCCGCGGTTGCCATGGCGATGGACGCAGGAGGGGGGGCCGGAGGGGAGGCAGGGCGCGTGACGTCACGGAGCGCGCCGCCATGGCCTCCTCCTCCGCCGGCTCCTCCGCGTCTCCCACCGGCGTCCCCCCCCCCCCCCCGCCCCCGCCCGTCCCTCCCGAGGCCGTTCTGCGCCGGCGCGGACCACGGAGGGCGCGCGGGAGGGGGCCGGTGCGGCGCATGCGCGCTGTGGGCCGCGCCGCCGCCGCCGCCGCCTGGTGCCCCCGCCGTTGCCGCCGCCGCCGCCGCCGCCTCCTTTCCGCCGGCGGGTGTGTGAAGGAGGAGCCGGAGCCGGAGCCGGGGCCGCCGCCGCCATGGGGGTGAGTGAGGCCGGGCCGACCCCCCCCCCCCCCCCGTTCTCGGGACCCCCCCCCCCCCGGCCCCCGACCCCTCCGGCCCCACGTGACCCCTGCTTTCCCCGCTTCCCGGCATCCCCTGGGGCGTCCCCCGCTACGAGCTCCTTGTCTTGTTTTCTACCCCCCCCATCCCCGGCACGCTCGGGGCACCCCCCCCATTCCCATGTGCGCCGGGGGCTCCCGGGTCCGAGCCGGCCTCGGACACTCGCGACGTGACCTTGGGCGAGTCACTGAACCGCCCGCGGCCTCAGTTTCCCCACCTGTAAATGGGACCTGGCTCCCCCTCGCGGCCTACGGTCCCGCGGCCATTCCGGGCACTTTTGTGACCGACCACTTCCGTGGGGGTGGAGGGGGAGGAAGAGACCTCAGTTTCCCCATCTTTGGTAAAGTGCGCAGGGGCCTTTCCTCCCCCTCCCCCGGGAAGAGCCCAGGAGGGGGGAAGGGACCTGGGTTCGAATCCTGAGCCCTGCCCTTTCCCCTCATTGTGATCTTGGGCAAAGCCCCCACCCTCCCGGGACCTTAGTTTCCCCGTCGGAAAAGTGAGGGATTGTTTCACTCTCCCCTGCCTCGGTTTCCCTCTGGGGAGCTTCCTGGCTAGATCTCGACCCAGGGGGCCAGAGCACTTGTACCTAAGTGGAAACTGAGGCTTTTGAGAGGCAGGTCAGGGGTGCCAGCCTGGCCCCTTCCCCGCCTCTGCCCCCCCTCCTTCCTGGCCTGTTTGCCCCTCTCTGAAATGGGGGTACAGCCTCCTGCTGGCCCCCACGACAGCCTGGCCAAGCGTGGGGACCCCCCAGGAGCAAAGGCGCTGCTGTATCTGAGTGGGTCTGGAGGCTCCTTCCTCCTGTGGAGTCGGGGTCTCTGGGGTCCTCCAGTCTGTGAAGCTGGGCAGAGCCCAGGGTCCCCAGTTCTGGGCCCCCCAGATGAGCCGGACGTCCCATGGCAAGCCCTCTCATTGGCAGGTAGCCGAGTTCATCTATCCCAGTGCCTCCGTTCAGAGGTTGCCTTTCCTGGAGGGGGTGAGACTCCCTTCTGGCCTAAAACCCCCTGGGGATGGGGGCCCTGCCCCTGCCCCTGTCTCTGCCTCTGCCTCTACCCAGAGGCCTTCTGTGTTTCGCATTCTGAAGCTGAGTCTTCACTGCCTCTGATAGAGTTATGTGGCCAGTAGCATAACCCCCATTTACAGAGGAGAAAGCTGATGTCTGAGAGGCCCTGGGACATGCCCACGGTACCCCCCCCCCATCGTGGGTATCACTCTTCTGGCTTGGGATCCCATGTCCTGACCCCCCTGAGCGCCGGGGTGGGGGGGGGGTTCAGCACTGAGTCCTCCAGGGTTTTTATCAATAATTCACGTCTCTGTCGTCCTTTAAGGTCGTAGTTCTTTGATCAAAGCAGCATTGTGTTATGTGGGGAGTATTATCCCCATATTGTAGTTGAGAAAACTGAGGCTCAAGTAATTTACCCACAGCCATGTAGCTAGTAAATGTCAGAGTTGGGATTTGAACTCCAATCTCACCTGACTCCAGTTCCCGGGAGGAATGCCGCTTTTCTCAGAATCCCCACTGGGCATGCCCACACCCGCCAACTTTGAGCGGCCCACCAGGTTTTGTCCCGGCCTCTTCCTCTCTGCACTTGCTAGCTTGAGCCCAGCTCCGCCCCTTTCCATGATCATCTCTATGCAAAGGGTCCCCAGGTGACCGTCCAGCTGCCTCTTGGACATCTCTAGTGTCCCTAAGCCCTTCCCTCCCTGCTGCGCCCTCCCCGTCGTCCCCCTCTGCATCCCATCGGCCCCCAAATCCTCCTCTCTCACAATAGCTTGGGGAAGGGGTCTGCTGGCCCCACGTCTCCCCACTCTGGTCCACCCTCCACTCAGATGCCTGATGCAGGCCTGTCCCGCTCAGCCGCTGCTCAGTCTTCCCCACTTCTATTTCCAGTAGAAACACCTCTCGGGGCCCTTAGAGCTTTTTCTGCCCAGCCCCGTCTCTCTGTCCAGCCTTCTCATACTCTGCTCCCCTCCATAATCTGTGATCTAGCTGCACACAGCACCCAGTCTCCTGCCTCCAAGCCTTTGTCCTGGCTGTCCCCTCCCCACTTCCTCCTCTTGGTATCATCCCACTTTGGACCGGAGGCCTTTCTTGGTCTTCCTCACTGCTGGTGCCTTCCCCTCTGGGATTTGTCTCCACTGCTCACTAAGTGTCTTGTATGTTGCCTGCCTTGTTAGAATGGAAGCTCCCTGGAGGCAGGGACCATCTTTGCTTTGCCCTGTATCCCACAGCTGGCACACGGTAGGTGCTTACTAGATACTGGTACACTGGCTAGATCCATTTTGCTTTTGAGCACCAGTGTCTAGTGACTGTGCTTGGACTCCTAGGATGATTGCCCTCCTTGGTGCGGGTGCTGGGGTGGAGATGCCTGGAGAGGTTGTTGGCTGCCCACCCTCAGCCCCTTGGTAGATGGCACCTTCATGGAAAATCCCACTGAGTGGCTCTGTTCTGAGAAGGGCGTTTGGCCTCTGGTGAGGCCAGCATGGGCTGGGCATTGCTGTCAGGGAGGCAGTCTCTCCTTAAAGTGCCCCTGATGCCCTCCTGGGTAGACAGCTCGTCTTAGCGCGGCAGAGTCAAGCCCACTGGAGCCGCCAGGACATCGCTTCTCCAGGTCTGGGCCCATTTTAGGAGATGCTCTGCTTGTCTGGCCCAGACAGCAGAAGCCCCTGGAGTTAACTTCCCCTCCCCGGGCCTGTTTGTCCAAGTACTGAAGGCTGAAAGGGATCGTTACGTATGGGCCGCAGAGGGTGGGTTTAGACACTGGCCAGGCTGCCCCTAGGAGTGGGCCCATAAATCTCCCTTCCAAGGCGGAGTGGCCGGGCACGCCGGGTGCTTTTACGACCTGCAGTTGTTCATGGGCCTGGAAAGCGAATAAGCCAAGCGTGCGGGACGCCGTCTCCTGCTTCACAAGGGAAAGCGAGTCAAATGTCAGCATTCTCCGTGCCTCCCCAGGTGTGGGAGCCCCCTTCCACTCCAGGGTCCAAGGCCAGCTTTGTCCTGTCAGCATCTTGGTCTCACTTGGGATGTGTTTTATACCAGGCTAAAATAAGAGACTCTTCCCAGGGACATTAAACTCTGACACCCAGAGAGAGCCTCCCCCTTTGCCTTGAGTCTGTGAGCCCTAGGGATGCGGGCCTGGACTTGGTGGTCCTCCTCCCTTCACCTCCCTTTCCGTCCCTTCCTCTTCCTTTCCCTTCTCTTCTCCCTGCCCGCTTCCTTGCTCCTTCCTTTCCCCTCCTCCCCCCCTTCCTCTCACTATCAGACCTGGCCAGCATTTTCATACCACTCCATAATAGAGATTGCCCACCCCCCTCCCCATGCCCCCGCCAGCACTTGGATATTCAGGCATACTCGTGGTCAGACCACATCTCCCGAAACCGTCATTCCTAGTGCAAGCTCAGTCCAGGGTTAGTTCTGTCCCCGCACGCACACATTTGACAGGGATTCTGCGGGTGTCTGCCTTCAGGGAGTTCAGGACTGGGGAGAGCCATAGGCTGGCAGGGATGGAGAGGACCTTAGGTACCATCTAGTCTTAACGCCCTTCTTTTGTACAGGTCCAGAGGGGACCAGTGACTCCTTTGGGGTTGCGAGACCTTGGCCTTGTGCCTCAGGGCCCACTACGCTTCTCATTGCACACAGTAGGTAGTCAGACATTTGTCACTGGGTGTCCTGATGCTACTCACAGGAAGAGGCCCCGGGAGTTTATAGTGTCTGCACTATTAGATGCCAAGGCGGCTAGGTGGCTCAGTGGGTAGAGCTCTGGGCCTGCAGTCAGGAAGGCCTGAGTTCAAATGTGGCCTCAGACACTCACTAGCTGTGTGACCTTGGGCAAGTCACTTCACCCCTGTCTCTGCCTCAGCGTCCTCAGTTGTAAAATGGGGGTAATCGTAGCCCCTGCCTCCCAGGGTTGTTGTGAGGATCGCAGGAGATGATATTTATTCACATGCCTAGCCCAGTGCCGGGCACAGAGCGGGCACCTCATAGGTGCTTCTTTCCTTCCAAAAACTGCACAAGGCTGTTCTTCCTTGGTCACAGTCCTCAGGAGTGGCCCCCGTTGGTGTCCTGAGGGCGTTAGCTGGGGTCTTTGACGCTCCCGTGTGCCCAGGGATGACGTGCCTGCATCTGCCTCCTCCAGGCTTTTCCCTGAGCAGAGAAGGCAGACCACTCCTGGCTTTGTCCCAGGGACCCACCCACTTTCCTCGTGCCCTCTGGCAGCAGTGTGGCCTGGAGCTTGAACCGTTGGCCCCGCTTGTTTTTCGGTGCTGGACCCTCCTTGTACTTTTCCATTGGTTGAGCTGTTGCAAGGCTTATCCTCCAAAGAGAGGTGGGAAGCATCTGCCCCTAGCTCAGGGGCAGTGTGGGGTAGTGGGAGCAGCCCGGGATGTGGTCTGATTCCTGGCGGCAAGCTCAGTTTGCTTCGTAATTGTGTGAATCTGGACGGGCTGTTTCCCCTCGGCACACCTCAGATCCCTCCTCTGTAACGTGGGGAGAGCAGTAGTTGGCCCCGTCCATCTCAGAGCTGGTGAGAAGAGCACTTTGAGGAGGGCCCTTAGAAAGATGAGCTGGTGTCCCTTCCCAGGGCGCCTTACGGGCTGTGCCAGAGTTGGTGGAAGGGGGGTGAGCTTGCCCATCCCAGAAGGAGAGCCTGCCTGTACAGCATCAGAATCAGACTGGCCTCGATAAAGACAAGCAGCATTTCCCAGAAGGGGCTGATGGGTCCTGAGCGTTCCCCATGGTGGCTGCTTCCCCTGTGGCTCGGGTGGGCTCTTGGGAGTCACTGCCCCCTGTGCCAGGGCTCCTGCTAGATTGTGGCCTGGGTGGGCCTGGTGCCGCCTGGGCTCTGCCTGCCGGAGTAGGGGCAGTGACAGCTCAGGGTCAGGGAGGGTTAGGTGAGGCTAGCACCTCCAAAAAGACCTGCCCCCAGGCCCAGCTTCAGCTCCCTAAATGCCAGGGAAACCTTTCAACAGCTGGCAAACGGGTTGGTGCATCCCCCGACTGTCAGCTTCTGGAGGGCAGGAGTGGTCTCCCTGCTGCCACAGGGCATGGATGTGGTGGTTACGATCCAGGCTCATGAGAAGTCAGCAGGTAGGGAGGGGCCATTTCCCTTTTTGCCCACCTGCCTCCAGATGGGATTTTGAAATGGCCCACAGGTGAAGGGAATCCAGGGAATAGGAACCGAGAGCTAAATGGTGGCTGGATTAGTGCTCAGAGCAACCTGAACCATAGGTCAGCCACAGTCCAGGTAGAGAGTGCCAGCAGATGAGGTAGGCTTCTGACAATTGGGGGGGAGGCTCCATGGCTTGAATTCCCCTGACTGTGGTGAAAAGCAGAGCTGGCCTTCCTTTGGACAACCATGCCTGCCCTTAAGAGCTGTGTGACTTGGGGTGAGCCTCAGTTTCCTCTGTGAAATGGGTACAGCAATACTTGTGCAAACTGACTATCTCACAGACTGCTGAGGGCAGTGATTTGTAAACTGTTAAGGGCCCGGAACATCCCTTCTCACAGGGCTGGAGAGGGCCAAGAGCTTTGTCCGTTGGAGTTCAGGGGCAAAGCTGGACTCCAGCTTCACATCCCAAATGAGGGGACCTGTCACCCCCTTCTACAAAAGGAATGTCCGTTCCATACTCATGAGGATAGACACTCGGGCCCTGGAGACATGGGGAGGCCTCGTCCAAGGCCTCTGGATTACGGAGGAGAATATGGGGTGCAGAGAAGCGAGTGAGCTTACCGGACAGAAGGGAAAATAGGCAGCTCAGGAACACTAAAATTTCTCCAAAAGAGCTGTGGGGTAATTGATTGCACAGTGGGTCCTCAGCTTTTGCAGGGGTAACATCACTAGAGAACCACGGATGTTGACATGTTGAGCCTCCGGGAAATGGGTTCCTGCAGCCAGCAAACTGAGCTCTCTGGGCATTGCAGAGAATACACGTTTCTTTGTTTCATGGTTCTTTGTAACATAACACTGATTCTGATGACGGGCATTTCCCGACACGGTCATGGTGAAATACTCCAGCGTGGGGACTCGCTGAACCTTCGCTCTCACTAGCTCTTTCTGCCTTTTTGTGTCATTACTGCCAAACTCCTGGCTGTAGCAGCTGCAGGCGTCCACGGGGCGTCTCTCACACCTGTGTTTGCACACTAAGCCCGTCCCTGACTTTGTGGCTTGGGGTTCAAGCCCACAGGGCTTGCACTACACGTCGGGGCATAATTGCAGCACAAAACTTGAGTTTTGAAGGCCTAGGCAGCTCTTTACAGCACGAGAGTGACACAGGCCAGCAAAGGGCCTCGCGGGCGCCCTGCTCCACATGCCGGTGTGTCTCGTTGCGCTTCTCACCTTTTTCTCTGCTGAGCTCAGCTGTGGATGTACGCAGTTGCCAGCGCAAAAGCGAAAATGAAGTTACTAACAAAAACCACGCCGATGCTTGAAGTTGAGGAAGGTCAGTGTACGAATGTGGAGGATCGGCAGTAACACGCTCTTGACAGCCAGGGTGAAAGGGAGTTTTTCCCTTTTGTTACAATGAGCTCACTCCCTTCTCTGCACCCCGTGTTCTCATCTTCAGTCTGGAGGCCTTGGATGAGGCTTCCCCATGTCTCCGAGGCCCGAGTGTCCGTCATCGTGTGTGGGCACTCCTCATAGGAGAAGTGACAGGTCCCCTCATCTGGGATTTGGTGTCGGAGCCCAGCTGTGCCCCCGAGCTTCCCTGGACAAAGCTGTGTGAGGAGGGAGGACGTCCAGGCAGCCGAGAGCTCTAAGTCTGTGACCCGGCAGGGTTTGGAGGGTCCCTGAACAGAACCTTCTTCTCTCATTTTTGCAGAGAAAGTCAAGTAAAGCCAAGGAGAAGAAACAGAAGAGGTTAGAGGAGCGGGCTGCCATGGACGCCGTCTGTGCCAAAGTGGAGGCCGCCAACAAGGTGAGCCTGGCTCCTCCCATGTGCCCCTCCCGGGCTCCAGTCTGAAGCCCTTAGGGCAGGCTCTGGGTCGGCATCCCCTGCAGGTAGCGCTCTTGTTCTGGAACACCAGGCATCATCGGCCCTCCTCGGCCGCTGTCCGGGAGAATGGCCCAGCCACCCAGGCTCACTTAGGTTGGACTCTATTTGTTGCCCTGGTCTTTAGAGCTTCCTGAGAGCCTGGAGCCTGGCGCCTGGCGGGGACCAGCCTGGGGAGGTCATTCATGGCTCTCAGTTAATCTTTGCTCTGTGAGCGCAAGCCTGGCATGTGGCTGTGAGCTGGAAACCTCAGTGAGGGCCCGGTGTGCTGGCTGGCCGTCCCAAGGATTCCCAGGATGCCCACGAGCTCCCTGAGTTCCCCTGGCCCACCCAGCCAGTCACTGATAGCAGCAGCATGTATGAAGTGCCTACTGTGTGCAGAACACTGGGCTAAAACCTGGGGAAATGGAAGGTTGAGCAGAGGCTGAGTCCCTGCCGTTCTGGGGTTTGCCGGCAGCACAGAAGACACACAAAATGTGAAGCTGCCTAATGAGGACGTGGAGCTAGCAAGCAAACTGAGGTCAGAGGGCACAGTGCCAGGCCTGGGCAGCTGCTTGGGTCTGTGTCCGGACGGGCCTTTCCCCTCGGCTGGAGGGGCGAGAGAATAGGAGCTGAGGCTGGAGAGGTCAGGAGGCAGCGCCAGCTGTCGTGGGGCCCCCAGCCCACTCTGCCTGACTCACGCCAGGCACTTCTCCCTCAGCCTCAGTTTCCTTATCTATAAATGACTTGAGGCTTGAAGGCTCCCTTCAGCTCCTGGTCCCGTTACCTGGTAGGTAGCATGGAGCCGCTGAAGATTGGCAGCACTCCAGCATGGCAGCAGCCTGGGTACGTTGGCCACCTGGGCAAAGGTTGCGTTTCACAGTGCAGAGATAGGAGCTGTGTTCTCTCTGTCTCTGCTGGAGAAGGTGCCTCCAAACCACCTGTGGCTGTTGCCCCCTCTCCCTCCCTCCCCCTCTGTGGCCAAGGGCTCCTTGGCCTTGGCTCAGAGGGAGAGCCCAGTGGTCACCTTTAGGACGAGGCCACACACCAGGCTGCAGCTAGGGGTCTGTCTGTTGTGAACTCACAAGGTCAGACTGCTGAAGCCTCTGAGACAGCCACGTAGGGCAGGGGAAGAAAGATGGATGGGTCACAGGCGCTCTTAGGTGGACGGCCTTTGGAACCTCATGTCCCCCAGACTCTTAGCCATGCTGAGATGGCGTCGAGGACTCTGCCCGCCTTAGCGCTAATGCTTCCACTCTCTTTTTTCTCTTTAGCTTGAAGACCCCTTAGAGGCCTTTCCTGTGTTCAAGAAGTATGACCGGAATGGGTGAGTCCAGGGCCTTTGCTCTCCTCTGCCTCTCGGGGGTCTTTAGAGACCTGCCTCCTCCCATGGGGCCTCAGCTGGTGTCAGGGGCCTCCCACTCGTCTTTGTTGAGCACCGACTGTGGGAGGCGTGGACACTTTGACTTGAAAAGAGGCTCCTGATTCTTTAGAGACTGTGGCCTGGCCTCCACTTTCCCCTTTTGGGGTAACAGAATTCCCTTCCTTGTCCTGGTCCTCAGCTTTCTTGGGGAGCCTGGAGTTAAGCGCCCTCCCTTTCTTTCTCCCCTTCAGTGTAACATGGGGGGAGGGTGGCCCAGTCACTCATGGGCTGCTCTTTGGGATCTGGTCAGATGTGGGTCATGGGTGAGTTAGGCGGCCCACTGGGCTCCAGCCCATGCTCCCCAAAGGCAGCCGCGTAAGGCAAACCCGGTATGTGTACGATTCTCACTCTCGCCTCGGCCTGTCTGAATTGTCCGCCATGGCGAGGGCCTGGATCTGTCTGTCGCCCTTGTGGCCTCAGGTCAGACGTTTCCCAGCCTCAGTCTCTCTCCCATTTAGTTCCCAAGACATTTTGAACAAGCCCAGAACGTCTTCTCCTAGTTTCTGAGTCACAACAACCACAGGCCCTCTGGGAGCCACTCTTACAGCAGGCCCTGAGCCTGGGCGTCCAGAGAGCCCTTGTGTCCACGAGAGAGTGGGCCGGACTGGTAGAATTCCAGTCAACAGCCAGCACCGGACGTGTCAGAAGAGGGTGCCAGGTGGGCCCGTTTCTCCCCTGGGACAAGAGCAGAGTGTGTTCCTCTCCACCCCTCCTCACTCTGGGTCTGCCCATGTCCCGCCAAGATCTCCCAGGCCCCCAGAGCATCCGTCCAACATGCTGGAAGCCCCAACGGGGAGGAGTTCCTGGTACATCCCGTTGAAAGGAGATTCAAAGTGTCTGATGGGAAAGTGGTACACGGGGACGGCTTCAGAGAAACCTGGGACTTGTGTGATCTGATGTGCAGTGAAGTGAGCAGAACCAGAGGAAGAATTTATACAATAATAGCAATGCTGTCAATGGGGGGAAGGGAAGGGACTAAACATTTATTTAGCATCTACTGTGTGCCAGGCACTGGGCTAGGTGCCTTGTAATTACTATCTTATTTAATCTTCACAGCAACCCTAGGAAGTTACAAATGAAGAAATTGAGGCAAATAGAGGTTAAGTTGCTTGCCCAGGGTCATATAGCCTGTGAGTGTCTGAGGCTGGATTTGAACTCAGGTCTTCCTGAGGCCAGGCCCTGCACTCTGTGCACTGCACTAGCCCATTACACATGAAACAACCCTGAAAAAGTTAAGTCAGATCATGCAGTGACCACACGTGATTGCTGAGGACCCCAGCTCTCCATCTCCTGACAGAGGGAGGAGGGAGGGGTTCAGTGAGCAGAAAAAGCCATATCATTTTTGGATGTAGCCATCCTCAGTCTTCCAGCTAACATCTACTTAGTGCCTACTGTATGCCAGGCCCTGAGCTAAGGCTGAGGATATGAAGAAAGGCAAAAGAAGGTTCCTGCCCTCAAGGGGCGCAGTCTCATAGGGGAGACGATGTACAGACAGCCTGGCACAAACACACTACAGCCAGGGGCAGACTGGGACCTCAGAGGGAGGCAGTAAGATTCAGGAGAAGCCCTTCCTGCAGGAGGTAGGGTTTTAGCTGGGACTTCAAGGAAGCCAGAGAGGTCTGTGGTGGGAGCAGAGGAAGGAAAACGTTCCAGGCCTGGGGGACGGCCAGAGGCGGGACCCCAGCCCAGCCCACAGCTCGGTCCATGGCTCGGACGGCCTGGATCCAAGGGGTGGAGTGGAAGAGCCAGCAGACCAGTGTCACTGAGCAGGGAGGTCTCAGAAGACTGGAAAGGCCTGGGGGTGGGTGATGAAAAGCTTTGAATGCCAAACCAAGCAGTTTGTATTTGATCCTGGGGCCATAGGGGGCCACTGCACTTTATGGAATAAGGACAGGGGTGATGGGAAAAGGCTGAATAGGGGATGGACTAGGGGTGAGACTCAAGGCAGACCCCCAGCAGCTCTTACAGCAGTCTAGGGTTGAGGTGATGAGGGTCTGCGTGGGGTGGGGGGGGCAGTGTCAGGAGAGAAGGGGCATCTTTGAGAGATGTTGGGGAGGTAAAATCAACAGGCCTTGAGAGGGAGGTGTCCAGGCTGGCTCCTGGGTTGTGAGCCTGAGGGCCTGGGCGGGGGGTGGTGCCTTCTACAGTCGAGGGGGGAATGTTGGGGGGGGTGGAGAGATAGGTGTAAGGGAAAAAATAATGACTTCTGTTAAGGTGTGGGGATTTATTTGACTCCACATATTTGGTACAAGAATTTTGTTTTTCTTTTTGTGGGGCCGGGGTCGGGCAGGAGTAGAAGAAGGAGAGAAAATAGATTTTTGTTCATTGAAAAACAACTTTTAAAAACTGCAGTCTATGATAGGTCTGGATCAAAGAGGGAGGCCACAGTTCCTCTGATGTGCTAATCAGAGGGTTCGAGTACAGCCAACCTCATGGGCTCTGAGACTTCTTTTGTAACAACAGCCAGGTTCTTAGAGGGGATACCACAAGGGCCTCAGCTGGCAGAGCAGCTGTGACCCTCAGCTTTCTATCCATGCTATGGAGCCTGAAATTCACTGTCCTTCATGTGGGCACTTAGCCTCGGTTCCTCCATTGGTTCTGTGTAGGTATGACTAGAGAAAGAGCTGGCCTGGTCCCGGAGTCAGAGAGTAGGGTCAGGGTTACAGAGAGGCGGCCCCAGGGCGGTGCTGAGCGCCCCAGAGTCTCTGAGGAGCCAAAGCCCTTTGGTGGAAGGCCGTGATGGGGTGGAGCACAGTGAGGTGGCCTGCAGGGCTGGTGCCCTCTAGCCTTACAGGGAGGGCCTGTGCCCAAGGACCAGACAGCGCCCGAGTCCTTGGCTTCTAGGCAAGATTGACCTGAAAGGGCCCAGACCTAGCGGACGGAGAGGACAAAGGCGGTGAAGTTGCTGGAGCTTGGCAGTGGGTGCTGGGGGTCGCTTGAGGGCGTGTTCCAGGCTCTGGCTGGGGTAGTTACAGAAGATTTTTGAAAAGCTGCAGGCCTCCTTTAAAAGGGGGAGAGAGGGACTTCTGAGGGGAACAGGACGATGGGATCGCAGAGATTCAGGCCCCAGGAGATGGGGATGGGGCGGCCAGACACCCAGGAAGTGCTTTGTGGGAGGCGGCTGGGCATAGCGGAGAGAGGGCAGGTGTGGATGGCGGGGGAGTGGGTTTGTTGCTGGCTTTCCTCCTAGCGGGGTGACCTGCCTTGTTTCCTCCTCTGAAAAGCGGGAATGCTGATGCTTTACTGCTTCCCTCTTAGAGTTGTGAGGAAAGTGTTGTGTAAGTGTTAGGGTTCGATACACCCCGGGAGCATTTTATTACAGAGAAGGTCAAGGGGAGAGAGGAAATGGGAGCTGGGGTCAGGCCTCAGCCTGGGGGTGCTGACTGGGGTTGAATTGTGCTCTGAAGCTGAAGGATGGCCTCTCAGGCGCTTGGAGGCCTCAGCCAGGCGAGCACAGCAGCTCCCGGGGAGGTGGTGCCCCGGCTCATCCCATGCTTGGTCCACGGAATGTCTCCTATCGTGTCTCTCTCCCCACAGATTAAACGTCTCCATTGAGTGTAAGCGCGTGTCGGGGCTGGAGCAGGCTACAGTGGATTGGGCCTTTGATCTCACCAAGACCAACATGCAGACGCTGTAAGTGTCCCCGGAAGGCTCGGGTGGCTTCTCCTGCTGCCCCACCTAGCTCCTCACGCCCTCATCTTCCTCCCGATTGCCAGGTATGAACAAAGTGAATGGGGCTGGAAGGATCGCGAGAAGAAGGAAGAGATGACGGATGACCGGGCCTGGTACCTCATTGCTTGGGAGGAGAGTGCTGTCCCCGTGGCCTTCTCACACTTCCGCTTCGATGTGGAGTGTGGGGACGAAGTCCTGTACTGGTACGAGCCCCGGGCAGGGGAGGGGCCTGTCCTGGAGGAGAGGGCCTGGGACTCCCCAGCCGATGTCCCCTCCACTCAGGCACCGGCATTTCTGCAGTGCTCTGCGGGTGTTCACTCTCTTGGTTTACCCTCCCGGGGTCACATTGTAGGGAGGTCTGAGGCAGCCTTCAAACTCAGCTCTTTCTGATTTGAGGTCTGGAGCTCTACCCATTAGGCAGCCTGGCCCGTGACCAGGCCCAGCTGCCGCGGTGTAGGGTCCTTGGCCTAGATGGGAGTGTGTGTCTCCTTGTCCCCTTATATCCCCTGCTCCCTCCCGTCTTTCTCTCTCTGTCTCCTCTTCCCCTCCCCCTCCCTATCCCTTCCCGCCCGTGTACATGGACGGATCTGGGCCTGCCTCCTCCTTGAAGATGCCCATTGGCTTTCTTCCTCACGCGGCTGCTTGGGCTCACTCTGACCTCCTCTTCCTCCAGCTACGAGGTCCAGTTGGAGAGCAAAGTGCGGAGGAAAGGTCTGGGGAAGTTTCTAATCCAGATCCTGCAGCTTGTGGCCAACAGGTAAGCAGGGGTGGGGGGCTGCCCTCCTGCCTTAATGCCCCGTCCACAAAGAGCAGTGCCTGTGAATGTCCTTTATGGAATTAAATTCCCAGGAAAATGAACCCTCTGAGTTTTTCATGTGTTGAGTTATTTTGTTTTGACCCAAGCCTCCAGACAGCCCCACCGTGCGGCAAAGAGCATTCCTGTCCTCGCACTCAGGCTGGGGCTGGGCCACTCTGCTCGCTTTGGGCTGTGGAGCCCAGAGACATGCCCCCCTTTTCCTCCCCCTCAGCACCCAGATGAAGAAAGTCATGCTGACAGTGTTCAAACACAACCATGGAGCGTACCAGTTTTTCAGAGAAGCGTTGCAGTAAGTCCTGGGGCCCTGCATCTGATGAGGGGGGCTGCTCAGGCTTTTGTTCCCCTCTGCCAGCCTTATGCCCACTCCCCCCGCTGTGTGGGCTGGCCCGGGACTCCCGTGGAGCATGAGATGAGGAGGGAGCAGCGACTTCTCCATCCTGTTAGCGTTTGATGCGGGCTTAGTGAGTGCCTGCTGTCAGATGCTGTGGGGGCAGATGGTTCCCCCTGGTCCCTCCCCACCCGGGGGTGCTTTTTCCTTCATGTGTCCCTCCTGTTTCAGTGCTCAGGACTCCTGGCAGGGCACCGAGGTGCTTGGTTCCCTGTGACTCAGGTCCTCGTTACTGTCCTCGAGGCCCTTTGAGCCTTGAGGGAGGGAATCCCCCGGGGTTGCTTTGCCCAGCACGTCCTGGCTGTGCCACACTTTCCTGCCTCAGGGGCTTGTTGTGAGGACCCCACACGTTCACATACTTGGAGCTTTTCGCCAGGCACGAGGGGCTCGTGGAACTCACCGCAGGGACCCCTGCCTTACAGGTTTGAGATTGATGACACCTCCCCCAGCATGTCCGGCTGCTGTGGCGATGACTGCTCCTATGAAATCCTGAGCCGGAGGACGAAGTTTGGCGACAGCCAGCATGCCCACTCGGGCGGGCACTGTGGCGGCTGCTGCCACTGAGGCTGCACCAGGTGCCAGAGCCACGTCTTCCCCTGGCCTGGTCCCTTCCCCTGTTCCCATCACTCCACACATTCTCAGCTGCCTCTCACCTTTCAGGTCCCCCAGGGCGGTGGTCCCCTCAGTTCAGGAGGATGCCAGGGTGCACCCCCAGAAGCATCGCCCCCTCCCCCAGCCCTCATCTGCCCTCCCCGTGGCATTGGTGAGCAGTGCAGGGCAGCAGGGCTGGGGAAGGGCCATCCCATTTCTCGAGGGGGCCCACTGGGGCTCTTGGCCAGCCTGTGACGCAAGAAGGGCTTGTTTCCAAGCCACATCTTTGGAAGCATCTCTCTTCCCTTTATCCACTTAGCCAGAACCCCAGCTCCCCACAGCAAGACCCCATTGCTTGTAGAAGAGCAGCTGGACACTGCTGGGCTCCCCCACAGAGAAAGAAAGGAGAAGTGGGGTGCCTATGCAGCCCCAAGGGGACACAAGAGTGCCCAGAGTCTGGCCGAGAAAAAACGGCATTTGGTTTGTGGTTTCCTCAGAAAAGTCCCCCTCCCCGAGGGAAGACCTTTTGTGGCAAGAAAAGTGGGCTGGGGGAAGCAAGCTCTTTTGTAAGGTGTATGTTTGCAGAAGTGCAGAGTAAAATTGACTCAGGGGTCCACGGGACACTGTGGGAACTGTACGGAGGTGGTCGCTCCTGACCCTTCTCTCTCCATCAGGCCCAGTGACCAACTGGGCCCCGGTTGAGAGGCCTAGGAAGGAGCCGCCCACTCTGGGCAGAGCTTTGGACCGCTGGTTTTAGGCCCGTCACAGTCAATGATGCCAGCTTGTCCTCTGCTCGAACCCCTTCCCCAAAGTGCTGCTGCACCACTCCTGGGGAAATGACATCAGGGAGTCCCCAGGCTTCCCCTGGAAAGAGGCCTAGTTCCTGTCTGCATATTCAATGCCATTTCCTCTGTACTTTGGTGCTGATTCTTCCCCTCCCCAGCCCAGCAGCAGCAGGCCCTGCTTCTCCTCCCCCAGGGCCTCTCCCTCCTCTGCCTCAGTGAGGCAATAGTGCTGCTGACCCTGTCCAGGCTCCACCAGCTGTCTGTGGACCAGGGGGCAGCTCGGTCTAGCTTCTGTCCATTTCTTTCAGGGATGCACTCTGACCTGCTTCCATCCAGCCAGACTTCTCAGTCTCTCTGGCAGGATCCATTCTGTCCTTCCTAAGATGCTGAAATAGGGAGGAGAGAAGGACCCTGCTGAGGGGTTGGGAGAGGGAGCTTTGTCGTGTCTTCATCCAAGAGCAGTGGCTTTTCAGATGCTGAACTCCCGCCCTCGTCTGTCCTCCAGGGCTCATCCTGCCCCCAGCCTGGGGCGGGGGGTACCAAGCCCACTTCTCCCCTGGCATGACTCCTTTGAAGCCCCTCGGTGGGGAACCTCTTTAAAGTTTTAACCTCTGTGAAGGTTTTTGTAGAAGGCCTGTCCTTGGACCTGACCTCAGATTCTCCTCCCACCTGCAGTGCCCCAACTCAGGAGGCAGCTGTGCCTGCGAGCCCCTTCTCCCCCTTCACCGCTGTGTGGGAGCACAGACACACGTGCAGTGTGTCATCCTACAAAACACCAGCCTGTGAGCTGCTGGAGACCAGGGACCCTGGGCACTAGGCTTACACTCCCCTCCGCAGCTCACACCCTGCTTTCCCTTGGAAAGGGCCAGGGTTTTGTTTTTTGTTTTTTTTTTAAAGACGCCTTTGCAGCTTTTACACTGGATTCGATCCCCACTCCTCCACCCCTGGTGTCTCTGAGAGAAGCTTCTGCCCTAGGGTGGACTTTGTAGGTCATTGAAAGGGGCTGATTTGGGCTTCCTCACACTAGGAGCAAAGAAGAGTTTCCCTTCTCCTCTCCAGGGATATGAACCAAAATATTTTGGGTCTCAGATCATGGATTTCTGACTCTACTCCCAGAATTCCAAAAGAATCCCCAACAAAAATTCCAAGTAACTTGAGTTCGTTGTGTGTGTCTTTTTTATTGACTTCCTGACCTCTTCCTAATAACCAGATCCTAATTACCAAACTCGTTTGCAGGGGGGTGGCATTGACATTGCTGCCATCTTTATCCCAGTGCTCTTCAATTAGCTCGGATGCTGACGGCAGCATCTAAGGATTAGCAAGTCATTCCTTGGTTTGGTTTTCCTGTTTTGAGATTCCCTTGTCCCACTTTCACATCAGCGTCTCACGTCAACTTCTGCTAAGTCTAGTTTTTGAGAAATGTAGCTCTCTGTTTGGCCTGTGTCATTGTTTTGTTTGGGGCGCGTTGAAGTATTTTTGTTGAAGATATCTTCTTTTTAAGTTGTATCCATCCTTTGCCCATGCTGGGTCACTTCTCTTGGTGTGTCTGTGTGTACACGCGTGTGTGGGAGTGTGTATGTGCCAGGGTGAGTGTGATTCTTTTTAACCCTTTCTATTTTTTAGAGGAAAGTTTGAAAACAGACCTACTCTCGATATATATTTTTTCCTTAGTAAATTCTTTTCTCACTGGAATCAAAGGGAAAAAAGCAAACCTTTTGCATTGGTTTTATTTGTATGTTACAAATAAAAGACACTTTGTTCAGTTGCTGTACGACTCTGGCAGAATGGGATAGGCGTAGGTGAAGGTGGCATCTATTTGAGGGTGGGGTTCTGAAAGATGCTGGACAGTGGTTCATTGAGAAGCAGGTGGTGCACGAGGAAGAGCTTCAGGCAGCCTCCAGAGGGGCTTAGACTAATGGTCACTTAGCCCTTCTCAGCTCTGATATTCTCTGTTCTTGGGCAGAATCAAGATGGCAAAGTGAAAGGTCAGAACTGTCAAACTTCCCCCAAAACTTCACCTACCAAATGACCACAGGAAATACCAGATAGAATTCTGAGCTTAAAGGTCGTAGTGAGTGATTTTTTCAGCCCAGGGCACCTTAGGAAGACAGGAAAAGAGGTCTGTGGACACTGGGGTAAGGCTAGGCAGGAGGGGGGTGGCAGAGGGTGACAGGAGCAGCACTGACTCCCAGGGACAGTAAGGAGACTGAACCTCAGGTCAGAAAGAAACCCCAGGGGATCGCTGTGCTAGCAGTGGGAGCAAGTGGAATTTAAAAAGAAAATAATGTCTGGTTGTGTCCAACTTTTTGTGAACCCACTTTGTAGTTTTCTTGGCAAAGATGCTGGAGTGATTTGCTGTTTCCTTCTCAAGCTCATTTTACAGATGAGGAGACTGAGGAAACAGGGTTAAGTGACTTGCCCAGAGTCACACAGCTAGTAAGCATCTGGGGCTGAATTTGAACTCAGGTCTTCCTGACTCCAGGTCTTGTGCGCCATCCAGTGTGTCACTAGCTGCTGAAAAAGAGCAAACAATAAAAAGAACCTAACATTAAATATCTGCTATGGTGACAGGAAAGCTCAAGACCAACTCAGAAGAAAACAATCACATAAAAACGTCTGCAAGCAAAGACTCAGAGAAAAAGGAAGATTGGACACAAGCCGAAAAACCTCCTCCTAGAAGAGCTAAAGAGAGAAAGATATGTGTGTGTATATATGTATACACACATAAATATATGTATGTATACACACACATATACACATTTTAAAAAGCAGAGGAAAAATTAGGAAAAGGAATGAGCTATGCAAGAAAATTTTGTAAAGAGAATTAAGTTTGGTAAAAGAGGTGCAAAAAAAAATGCTGAAGAAAGTAACTCCTTAAAATTAGAATTGGCCAAATGGTAAAAGGAATACAAAACCTCACTGAAGAAAATAACTCCTTAAAAATCATAATTGGCCAAGTGGAAGCTAATGTATCCATGAAACATCAAGGAGTGGTGAAAGGCAGAAGACTGAAGGAAAAAAAGGAAGAAAATGTGAAATGCAGGAAATAATAAATAATTAAACACTGTGGAGCCATAGTCTCTTTGTCCTTCATTCTCAAAGAGGACCGTGACATCAGGGAGGTGATGCCATGACATGCGAGTGAGTTGGATTTAAGTGAGGAAGGCTATGCAAAGTCACCAGCCTCACTTTCACCTCCTGAGCCATCTAGGTCCAGTGGCCAGATACAGATCAGGACAACTGGAGATGGCCCAGGATGCAGTGGGGGACCTTGGCCTTTTCAAGCTGAAGTCTTTAACAGGTCTCAGTCTGACTGAGGCAGTGCCCATTCAGTGATTAAGATGTAATAAAAATGAGGGGGAAAAAATGGCCTCTTTAAAAAAAAAAATAGATCTGGGAGGGGAAGACCCTCAGAGTTTCTGGCTAAAACAGAAACAATTGTTATTTACATTCATTCTGAGCCATTCGAGGCCCAAACAGTGACCAAGTAGGGCTTGGTCTGGGGCCAGAGTGATTTGGGGTTAAGGCTGGTCTTTACAGTCAGAATAACCAGCAAAGCTGAGTATAATCCTGCATGGGAAAAAAATAAAAGTGGATAACTTTCAGTTTTTCATGAGGCGACCAGAACTGAATGGAATACTTTACCTACAAGAATCAGGAGAAATATAATGTAAAGATGAAAGATCAGTTATAAGGGATTTATTAAGGTCAAACTGTTTACTTCTTATATGGGAAAATGTTAACTAATTTTTTTTTTTTCAGTGAGGTAATCGGGGTTAAGTGACTTGCCCAAGGTCACACAGCTAGTATGTGTCAAGTGTTTGGTCTGAGGCCGGATTTGAACTCAGGTCCTCCTGACTTCAGGGCCGGTGCTGTATCCACTGCGCCTCCTAGCTGCCCCAATATTAACTAATTTTTTTTTTTTAAGTTTTTAGTCAAATTTAGGTATATTTTTTGCTTACTTTTGGTAAAATGTCTGATTAACTTTCTTTTTTATGGCAATTTTTTTTTTGTTTTGTTTTCAACATTTACTTTCACAAGATATTGAGTTCCAAATTTTCACTCCTCCCCCTACACTAAGATGGCATGCACTCTACCCCATCCCCTAGTCTGCCTTCCCTTCTATCTCTACCCCCCTTCTCTTATCCCCTCCCCCTTCAATTTTCCTATAGGGCAGGATGGAGTTCTATACCCCATTTCCTGTATTTCTTATTTCCCAGTTGCATGTGAAAACATTTTTTTTAAACATGTGTTTTTAAAACTTTGGGTTCCAAATTTTCTCCCTTCCTCCCTCCCCACCCACCCTCATTGATAAGGCAAGCAACTAAATATAGGTTATATATGTGCAGTTATGCAAAACACTTCCATAGTAGACATGCTGTGAAAAACTATTTCCCTTAATCCTATCATGCCCCCCATTTATTCTATTCTTTCTTTTGAGCCTGTGCCTCCTCAGAATTATTTGCTTCTGATTACTCCCTTTCCCAATCTGCCCTCCTCTCTATCATTCCCCTACTCTCTTGTCCCCTTCCCCCCCCGTTTTCCTGTAGGATAAGACAGATTTCCATACCCAATTGAGTGTGTATGTTATTCCCTCCTGAAGTCAAATCCTATGAGAATAAGATTCATTCATTCCCTCTCACTTTCCCCTGTTTCCCCTCCACTGCAAGATACTTTTCTGTTGTTTTTTTTTTTTGTGGGATAATTTACCCTGTTCTACCTCTCCCTTTCTCCTTCTCCTAGTATATTCCTCTCTGACCCCTTAATTTTATTCTCCAAATATGACCCCTTCATTTTCAACTCACCCTGTGTTCTCTATCTATTTATATCTATATATACATACATATAATTTTTTCCCCTCCAACTACCCTAATACTGACAAAGGTCTCATGAATTACAAATGTCATCTTTCCATGCAGGAATGTAAACAGTTCAACCTTAATAAATCTCTTATGATTTTCTCTTTCCTGTTTACCTCTTCATGTTCCACTCTAGTCTTGTATGTGAAAATCAGATTTTCTATTCAACTCTGGTCTTTTCATCAAGAATGCTTGAAAGTCCTCTATTTCACTGAATGACCATTTTTTCCCCTGCAGGGTTATACTCAGTTTTGCTGGGTAGGTGATTCTTGGTTGTAATCCTATCTCCTTTGCTCTCCAGAATATTATATTCCATGCCCTGCGGTCCCTTAATGTAGAAGCAGCTAAATCTTGTGTTATCCTGATTGTGTTTCCACAATACTTGAATTGTTTCTTTCTGGCTGCTTGTAATATTTTCTCCTTGACCTGGGAACTCTGGAATTTGGCTACAATATTCCTAGGAGTTTTCCTTTGGGGATCTCTTTCAGGAGATCAGTGGATTCTTTCAATTTCTGTTTTGCCCTCTGGTTCTAAAATATCAGGACAGTTTTCCTTGATAATTTCTTGAAAGATGATGTCTAGGCTCTTTTTTTGATCATGGCTTCCAGATAGTCCAGTAATTTTTAAATTCCCTCTCCTGGATCTATTTTCCAGGTCAGTTGTTTTTCCAATGAGATATTTCACATTGTCTTCTAATTTTTCATTCTTTTTGGGTTTGTTTTACAGTGTCCTGATTTCTCATAAAGTCACAAGCTTCCAATTGCTCTATTCTAATTTTTAAGGAAGTATTTTCTTCAGTAATCTTTTGGACTTCCTTTTCCATTTGGCCAATTTTGCTTTTTAGGGCATTCTTCTCCTCATTGGCTTTTTGGACCTCTTTTGCCATTTGGGTTAGGCTATTTTTTAAGGTGTTATTTTCTTCAGTATTTTTTTGAGTCTCCTTTAGCAAGCTGTTGACTTGTTTTTTATGACTTTTTTGTATCACTCTCATTTCTCTTCCCAGTTTTTCCTCTGCTTCTCTTACTTGCTTCTCAAAATCCCTTTTGAGCTCTTCCAAGGCCTGGGACTGATTCGTATTTTTCTTGGAGGCTTTGGACGTAGGAGCTTTGGCTTTGTTGTCTTCTTCTGGTTCTATGTTTTGATTTTTGTCATCAAAGTAAGGTAATATAGTACGATTCTTTTTGTGCTGCTTACTCATGATCTCGGCCAATTACTTGAGTTTTAAACTCTTTGCTAAAGTAAAAGTCTGCTTCCAATGTGAAGAGTGTACTGTCCCAAGCTTCGGGGGTTTGTACAGCTGTTTTCAGAGATACTCCTAGGGACCTGTAAATTTTCAGTTCTTGCAAGGTGGTATGATAACGGGCAAGGTGTTTCCTCTCCACCACCACAACAAGCTTCACCACACCAGCATTCCTCCTCGCCCCAGGACCGCTCCTCAGAACTGTGACCCAGATCCAAGCACCGGTAAAGCAAGAGATTCCTGCCTCAGCACTGGCAAAGAGATCCCTGCAATCCCCCTCTCATCAGCCACTTGATTCCCCCTCGGGCTGTAGGCCGGAAGCTCAGGAGGCAGCTGCTGTCCCAGAGGCCGTGCTCAAGACTTGGGGCTGAGACCTAGCTCCTCTCTCACCGCAGTCACAGACTTTGCCCACTGACCTTCCACGTTGTCTTCAGCATTCCTGAGTTGAGAAGTCTGGAAGCCGCCATAGCTGCCCGCGATTCAATCCTTTGAAGCCTGCTCCAGGGTCACTGTGGCCTGTGCACCCACACCGCACTGCGCTCCTCTCGCCACCTGGCGCGATATACCTTTCTGATCAACCATCCAGGCTGTCTTTGGCTGGAAATTTGATTAACTCTGTCTTTTTGTGGGTTCTGCTGCTTTAGAATTTGTTTAGAGTCATTTTTTTA